ATGTTTAAAATTATTTTAGCATTGTGTTTCACTATATAAGACACTGAACAAATCCAAGCATTATTACACAACTAATTACCTCTGTCCTATAAAACAAACAGTGCAGAGTGAAAACATAATGATTGGGTGAATGAGACTTCACAGTAATAAAGTGTAGTTTATTTCAAAACAGAAGAATCTCTGCCCCTCAAAAGCACTCTGTCTTTGGAAGAGTAAGTCTCTTCCTCCTCTTGTGCCATGGTTTGTTCTGAGAGACTGAGGAGCTCTTGATCAGTCAGTGTGGTCAAACAGAGCTGAAGGCGCCTCCACTGTCATGGATGGTTGCCTCTGAAAGCAACGTGACCGGCCCTTTCCAGTAGACAGATAATGTTACATATTAGAGCAGTAACTGAGTCTACATGCTTTTATTATTTTTAGCACATCTCCCTTTTTAAAATATAAATCTTCTTCCCACTTTCATAAGGACACTACATAGTAATTCTGATTGTTTAATCAGATAAAAGATTATTATGAGACCCAAACATTTTAATTACTAGATAACAATTTCATAGCTGCAGTAAAACTATTTTTAGAGATTATAAATTTTAAAATGACTAAAATACAGTGAGTCATTCAAAATTTTGTCTTTTTATTATATAAAACCTCATTTTTGGGTCTGGAGAAATGGCTCAACAGTTAAGAGCGGACTGACTGCTATTGCAAAGGACATGGGTTCAATTTCCAGCACCCACATGGCAGCTATCAACTCTTTGCAACTCCAGTTCCAGGAGAATGTGACACCCTATTCTGTGGGCATTGCACTGCATGACATGGGTGCACTTACCTACATGCAGGAAATATACTCATACACTTAAAAATAGTAAATACAATTTAAAATTTTTCATTATCTGTAGACTTAAATCGTCATATGTTTATAAGGAAATTTGAAATTGGCAGCTCCTACTTACTTTCATTAATCTACAACACTAACATTTTCCCATAAGAATAGCATATATTTTATAATTGATTAAACTGACAAGTTCCTATGAAGGGCGAGTTATACTGATACTCCCTTAGTTTTCCCTGATCTCTTCCTCTGATACTGAATTCCAACTGTATTTATACATTTTGTCTTCTCTGGCTAATTTTTGTTTAAACTTTCTTATATTTCCTTTGTTCTTAAAGAAATCAGCAATGTTGAGAACTGTCCAGGAACTTAAAAAGGCTATTCCACTAAAAGTATTATGAATTTTTCATAATTCCTTTGAGGTTATTGGTTACTGGGGATAAGAACACAAAGATAAAATCCTGGTTTTTCATGCCATACAAGCGTGGGTAAAGGCTACCAATACAACAACATGAATCACTGCTCACCTAATCAAAAGGCAGAGGTAGCAAGGGTAGGTTTCTCCATTGTAAATTCCCCCCCCCCTTTTTTTTTTTCATTCTCTTCCCAGAGTTCCTTGGAGACATCACTATAGAACATGCCATTTCAAGAGTGAGGAAATAGGCTTCCCATACTTGGGGATGGACTAACTTGATGGGTTTTTTGAAATAATTCTGCATACATGTTATACTGCTCATTTATATTTACTTGTTATTTGCATCAGCTACTTCAAGCAAAGTATGTATGCATACATCTACAAGTATTTCCATTCATAATCTTCTGTAGTTCTATTAAGGTGAACAGTCCTTCTCCTCTCCATTCTCCTTGAGTGCATAACTACATAGCTTGCCTTTTCTTGCCTGTTTGTAAGTTTCTATTCTGACACGGAGAACCTGGCAACCATGTACTTAGCCAAAAATTTCCAGTATTCACAGTATGGCTACGTCAGTACTAAACTGTTTCCATGTAATGATCCGCTTCAGTAACTACAATATAGTTTAAATACCAGTGTGCACAGTATGGCCATGTAGTAATCAGCTTCAAGGGCTATTCATTTGTTTTTCCATTAATCTTGTAGACTCCATCACTATTAGACTGAGGTGACTCAGTGGTGGAACACTTGTCTAGCATGTCTACATCCCTGAGTTTGAGCTCATTTCCAGAGCTTGGAAAATGGAAAAGAAAAAAGGGAGAAGAATAAATGTAACACAAGAGAGAAACAGGAAAAGACAAAATTGGTTTATTTATTGGTCACCGTGACAGACATCTTTATTCAGCTTACTTTAAGGGGTTATTCTGACCAATCTGATTGGGCTTCATCAAGATAGCTCAAGATGCTTAAAGCTGCACACAGGTTTTTTGAGGCAGAAATACCACAGCACTGAGTTCTGAGCAAGAATTCTAGTCCTGCAGGACTGATGGAATGTTTCAAAATCATGCTCCCTGATAACCATGGCAGCATAAACATACAAGCTTGGCTTCAGTGGAAAACCTTTAAAAATTCACATGTTGCAGCTTTTGTTGGGAAGATAGTTCTAAGGAAACAGAAACATGGGATGGGTTTGAATTTATTCAGGGGTTTCCAGAACTGATCTTCCAATCTGACTAGATTTAAGAGCGATGAAAATCGATTTCTATCCATCTTTACTTCTATGATTCTTTGGTAGAATCAAATGCTAATAGGTCCCAAAGGATAAAGTTCAAAGAGCAGCCCAGGGGCAGCTATGGCTGTAGCAAAAATAATGGCAGGTTTCTCCAACTGATTCCAAAAGAATTGCAGGGAATATGTGCACAGGTGCATATTAATGATATGGATGATGTCGGAAGGAATATAAATTTGCATCAGGCTAATCTTATTAGCATGGCTCCATTAAACAGATACTGGCATTAGTGTCAGGCCTTAAAGGGCTCTAGGCATCTTCTTAGTCTGATCACCTATATCAAGTGACACAGAAATGCCAAAAATGCTTTTCAATTCTTCAGAGGTAGTACGATAAAAGGTTAGAGCTTGCGAATGTTAGAAGGGACTTGTCACATATGAATTTACCACTTATCTGGGAAAGGTCATGAGGACACACTGTTCAGTGTGACTGTGAGGAATGAAACTGGAGAAAAGCCCAGTCCTGCTGTGAGGCCCTTGTGGTCACTCTTCTCCGTCGCTCAGAACTACTGCCACCAAACTGAGTCCTTAAAAGCAATGACAGCATTGGACTCTGAATTGGCAGGCTGCAAGAAGCAGCAATAATCACACAAAAGGTGTGGTTACAGTTGTGGTCATCAGGGTCAAAGAACTAATTGGAATAGTTTACCCTAGGAGGCCTAAAATGAGACATGCTGGTCATTTATCACAAGAGGGAAGTGTTTCATCTTTATAAACCAAAGCTCTAGTTCATGTGAACAAAAATCTAACAAGAATTAGAAGAACAGATACTCACAACCTCTCAACCAATTCCTAGACTTGAGCCAATTGAAGGGCCCAGAAACCCTTCAGGAATGGAGATCCTAGACCTCTTTTAAGGAAATCCTTGCACCTTACCAAATGTTTCCACTGTTACTCTTTCTCCCAGCCTTCCACAAAGGTCTTGCAGACTTTTACCAGAGTAAGTGTGCATCACAGCCTTTTTAATAACTAGCAGTATTAGCTCTGAACCGACAATGATTACAAAAAACAGAAATGCCACTGTGGTCCACCAGACAGAGCAGGGGCTAGTGCAGGTCACTTGACCAACTGAGTTTTACCTGAAGCTCAGTTCTCAAGAGCATATCTCTTAGTTTGTCCCCACCAGCTCTGGAATACATAACTGTGCTAGATATTCTCAGCAACTGCAAGAATGTCTATGATGACCCTCAGGCATGTGAAGTAATTATTATTATTTTGAAAATAGTGCTTATATATTTATAGGATGGAGGACTTAGAAGCTGCAGAGGTAGCAATTCCCTCATTCCCAATTGTGGCCTGTGCAGAAGGCAGGCTGATCTTGGATAATGACTGTGGATTAGCATAACCAGGCGGGAACCTTAGTTGTCTATATATGATATGAATGATGTTATTGTTTTAACACATTAACCCACCTCCACCCACGTACCTGATATGCAGTTACTGACCTGGCAAGTGCCCATTTCTTAATTCCTTTTGTAAGTTCCAATAGAAACAGTTATTTGGTCTCTGAGCCCAGCGATGGACCCTTACTGTGTTACTTTGGGGGTCTATGATTTCCCTAGCTCTATGACAAAATTTAGTTTATGGGAATTTAATTGCCTTCTCCTTCCACAGGACATCACTCTTTTCTTCCATTATTTTGATTATATAATGATTGGATCTGGTGAATTAGAAATACCAAGTACTCTAAAGTGATGGATAATATATTTGTGTGTTAGAAGGTGGGGCATAAATCTGACATCAAGTATGTTACTCTGGAACATTTAGATGTGTGACCTCATGAGGTAAAGAAGGTACAGGCTGCTCTGCTGTTAGGGCCACAGGTTCCAGCAGATCTAACAGTGCTTGCCTGCCAGCCATGGTTGGGGCT